GGAACAGAGACAATGGAAGAACAGCGAGAAACACACAAAAAGATCAGAGCAAACACATTAATAGAACTGATCATAGTTATTGTCGAGTCTCTTTTTCACTGTTATTTATTGGATTTCCACTCCATGATTGCTGAGTAAAGAGTGTAGTTAGCAAGAAGATTTTTGTTAGGCAATGGAAGGTTCGTCACGGGCGACACATCCTTCTCTCTCAACCAGTCCTCTATAGCTTCTCGATCGTACGTGTACCCATCCGCAGCAACGCATGGCTCGTTCATCACTCCCTGTGATCAACACCACAAACTTAAAAGTCAAATTGAGAAGAAAAAAAGATTTCTTGTTTCGCAAGTAAAAGAAACAGAGTTTAGGGTTTATATAATAAACCTTGAGAAGTGGGCAAATGAAGTGAGATGGAGGACCAGACGGAGTTCTCGAGAGCGAGTTCTGAGCTTTGTCGACAACTTTCCTTAGCCGTTCCAAAGCCGGGATGATCTGATCTTTAAGATCCGGTCTATCTCTGCGTCTCAGTTCCGTACAACACAGTCCTAAAGCAGCTAACTCACGAGTCTCACTTATAGGCCAAGATCCAGCTTTCACGTCCAACAGTCCCATAAACTCAGCATCGTCCCCAATCGCTTCTTCCACCATATGAGTAATCGCTATCGCTGGCTTCGCGGTGATTAGCTGCAGAATCACAACTCCTAGAGAATACACATCAGATTTCGGAGAGATAATCCCGGTTCGCTGATACTCAGGGTCGATGTAACAGAGCGTTCCCACGGGACTGGTTTTCTTGAAGACGGTTAGTTTAGAAGAAGCGTCGTCTTGGTTAACCATTGTGGAGAGACCGACATCGCCGAGTTTGCTGACGAAGTTGTGGTCAAGCAAGATGTTTCCTGGTTTGAGGTCACGGTGAATGATTGGTCTTGGCTTGGATTTGTGGAGGAAGACGAGCGCTGAAGCGACTTCTAAAGCGATCCTGAAACGCTCGAACCAAGGGATTGGAGGTGTGTCGTTGACTAGCATTAACCGGTCATCTAAGCTTCCGTTGTCCATGTACTCGTAGACGAGGCAGCCTCGTTCAGGACATGCCCCAAGAAGAAGGACGAGGTGAGGATGACGGATCTTGCTCAAGATCTCAAGCTGTCAAAAAAACATTAAGACAAAAACATTTAGACTAAATCTCGCGGGAATGTATGTGGAGTTTTGGTTTGGTATGGATTTTTATTAACCTCTTGATCAAACTGTTTAGAGAGCTGAGTTTCTCCTGCGTGAAGGACCTTGACAGCTCCGGTGGTGTGATGCAGATTGCATTTGTAGACGGTTCCATAGGCTCCGATTCCGATCTTGAGGTCTTCAGAGAAATCAGAAGTTGCGGCTGAGATTTCTTCCCAGGAGTAGTGTTGGTATTGAATCCCTGGAGAGACGAGAGAAGCCTGGAGCTTATCTTTCTCTTTAGCGTCTCGCTCTGCTTTGATCTCAGCTTCTCTTCTATGTAAAGCCTCTTTCATCATGAGTTCTTTAACTTTCTCCGCCTCCTTCATCGCCTCTTCGTACCTTCGCTTCTCCTTTGAAGCTGTATCTTTCGCTACTTCTTCCTTTTCTTTTAGCTCCACGAGCTTCTCTGTTTCCTCGAATCGTCTCTGGTTTAGCTCAGTTAGCTGCAACCAAAACCAAAACACAAAATGTTACATAATACGAAAATGCCACTGTCTATGTGGTTCAGACATTTGTTAATTAAACCTTTTTTGAGGCATCAACAGTCTCGGTTTGAGCCATGGCATACATCTCCTGAACATGTTTCAGCTCGGCTCTCAGCTTCTCTATCTCAAAGCTCAGATTCACCTACACAATTAGATCTAATTTCAGCTCCGAACAAAAACATGTTCTGTTTCTCCGGAAAAACAGAGTCAAGTTCTGTTCTGTCTCAAGAAAATGGAATCAAGAATCAAGACGATAAATTCACCTGATTATCTGTCACGGAATGGACACTGAGTAGTCCATCAGACATGTTAGAAGCGTGATTAGAAACCCAAGAATAGTTCTCAGGAACCACTGCTCCCCAATCCATATTCGCTAGCTCGTGGTTGTTGCTCGAAGATGAGCTCATGATCTCTCTCCTGTCTTCATGATCTCTCCATTTAGAAGCCCAGCTCATCGCGTGATACGCCTCAGCTCCCATTGGAAACGATGCACTAAAGCTCTCATTGTTATTGTTATTCTTCTTCCCTTCATTACCGCTATTTACTATCTGCATCCTTCTCCCTCCATAGACTTCCGAATTGTCTGTCTCGCTAGAACTCGTATCCATATGAACCACAGCAGAATGTTTCGGAGCGGGGAGAGAAGGAGAGACTCGAGATTGCGCTTCCGAAACAAACGAGAGAAAGTCTACATACTCTGTTTCAGAGGAACGAGTAAATAACTGACAATTTTTAAAAGCATTTCGATTTGATTGATGTGAAAAATTTTACCGGAAGGGACTCTAGGACTGTCAGTGGAGCCACTCGTGGAACTGCTTCTCTCGGTTCTCTCGAATATTATGCTTCCGCTAGCGTCTGAATCGGAAGGACGCACGGAAGCAAGTTTCCCCTTTGAAACCACATACACTGTGCAGAATCTCGGCACAGCAGTTGCGATCATGGAAGACATATCGATCTTTCTTGAGAAGAATCCACGAAGAGACATTCCTATGACAAGTTTTGTTACTCCGGTTCCAGCAATCTCTTCAGCTATCGCAGCTACTGGTTCGTGTGATTCCAGCACCAGAATCTCTACTCGCACCTATTGAATGGGTGCATTTTCAGCTTTTGCGGAAAACAGAGCAAAACAAAAAACAGAGTGTTTTTAAGAATTTAATTCTTTTTGAGACAAAACCTTTCTCCTTTCGAACATTTTCTTGTAAGGACGAAGCATCTCGTTTGCGTTCCAATCCACTTCTTGTTTGTAAGCTGATACTACGTCGTCTCTAAGCTCTGTTATCGATATCGCATTCCCCACTGAAATCGAATTGTACGCAAAAATAAGAAAGACTCGACCTTTGTACCCAAACACAGATATTTTTGCATTAGTTACAACAATATTTTTTGAATCTTTTAGTCACAACTTACTTGGGGTAGGGATGTAAGTGACAGGAGGACGAACATAGAGCAATTTGAAATCAGAGAATCCCTCTGGAATGAACTTCTCAAGAGCCCAAAAGGCGACGTATTTGCTCTTCTTCTTTCCATTGATTGCTACAGCTACAGCAGGAGATGGTGGGTGAGGTAGAGATAGGTGCTCGCTTAATGCTCTTGCTGGTTTTTTCTCTTCCATTGCTTTACCTGAAACTTAAAAGCACAGTCTGAAATGCAATGTGTTTTTAAACTCTTGCAAGAAGATGAAACATAAACTTGCGGGGAAGAATGTGCAGGCGAATTGAGAATGCAAATAGGTTTCAACGAAGATGTAAATGTAACAGAGCAATGTGAGCTGTCGGGCAAAACAGAACTTACCCAGTAGTTCTGTTCGAGCACAGAACAATGAGGAAGAAGAAGAAGAAGAACCCTAAGTTTGGTGATTGTTATGACATTTTCTTAAGACGAAAAGAATTGACACAAGCAAGCACGTTGTTGCCGCCACAATCCTATTTATACTGTTACAGTCAGCTCACTAGTTAATTATTATTTTTCTTCAAACATTAGAACAAATAATACACACTTTTCTCTGTCTTATTGAGTTATTTCTATTAATTTATCGTTATATTTCTCGTAGAAGGATCTACGTTGGTATATCCCTCAGGTTGCAGTTTTTGTTTTTTTAATTAACAAAGTCAAACAAATCAAATGTCCAACTGTTTTTCTTTTTACCAAACAATAAAGGTTTGAGTTATTTATTTATTTATTTGTTTATTAAAAAAAAACTTTATGTCTACATATCAGGAGAAACGACCTATTATACCTTTAAATTTCATCGAAATAAATGTTAAGAGATGGTTTCTCAAAATATACCGTTAAAGTTAGCTTAATGAATCTAGAACCCGATCCATTACAATTTCAATAACGACAGTGAGCATGATTTACGGTCATACGAAGGTTTAGGGATTAGATATTGAGATCAAGCTTGAGATTATAGGATAACATTCTTAGGATTTAGTTGCCTACATGACATTATCTTCCGTTTTGTCACGTCTTTTATTTTTCTACCATTCTCTTACTAAACTTTTTTTTTTTTGGTCGAAGTTCTTACTAAACTTTATGATTACTTTTTCAAATAAAATAAAAATATAACAAGTATTTTCCCATGAATTTATGTAGATATAGAAAATTGTAGAGCCGTAGAGGATATACCGAGGAATTCCCCTAATTTTATGCGCTCGGTGTTTTCACAAAAAAAAAAGAGAGTTTATATATTTTTAAGGGCACTTCAACTACAGAAAGTCAACTATGTTCATATGTTTTGTTGTTTGATTAAAAAAAAAAATCCTCGGTCCTTTTGTCTGATCAATTCAGACAAATCCGAACAACTAAATCCGCCAATGGGGAACAGATTTCTGTTTAAAGAAACAATATTTCAGAATACTCCAAAACAGCTTGCCATGTCGTACTTCCAGATATGAACTTCGTGCCGTTTGATTATCTACAAACTACAATCACTTTTGGAAACCTTCAGTTTTATGATCTTGTGATCCATACCAAAAGTCTCACGAAACTCATATCAATCAATAAGATTCTTAGTAGAGAGAATTTACCGGTTTCATGGAAGAACTGTGAAGACTTGAACATCGTCCATTTCAGGGTCTTGGACTGAGTACTGAAACGTCCAGCCATGGCAAGCTCCTGCGTGAGAACCGTTCTTGTCAACAGCGACAACTGCTCCTACAAAATCCGGAAACTTCCTTGCGATTCTCGAGATCGCGTCCTTAGCAGCTTGTTCTAGTTTCATTCCCTGTCTCATACTTTCCACAACTTGGTAACTAAAACCTCAAGAAAAAGAAGAGGAATCATAATAAGCTCACTTTAACATCACATACATAGATTCAATGTTAGCCCCACGAGAATAGACATGTATTGGTCATTAGATTTGCTGTAAGATAGAAAACAAAACAAAGTATGTTGCTTTGTTCATGGAGATTAAGTAATTACCAAGGAAGGAAACGCATCATGATGTCGCCATCTCCAGTTGCACCACATCCACCTACTTCATCATCAGCGTATGCTGATGAGCCGACGATAGGCCCATCACCCACTCTGTGTGTCATAATCAAGGTTTGAATTTTTTTTCTTTAACTCTCACATGAAATGAGGATTAAGGAAGCTAGATTGATAATCGCACATTTCAAACAATCAGGAGGCAGGTACGATATAAAGATAGATAGTTACAGTATAAATCAGAGAAAGGGCTCAGTTTTAACGGGTATTAATAGTATTACCTTCCAGGGATCTTGAATGTTGCTCCATTGGTCGATGTCCCAACAGCAATATGCCCCATCTATTGGAAGACTATGGCTCAGATTCTCTCATCATGGCAAAAAGAAATGAATAGAGAATATAATTGAAACTCATCTTACTTTGTCAATGACAGCCATAGATATGGTATCGTGGTTGTGAGGGCCAACAAGAGGCAGTTTATACTCAATTGTTCCCATCTCGCAAGATTCAGTGCGTATGCCTCCAGAAACATCCATACCACCATTGTTTGGCTTGTAAGGTCCACAGTTGTTTGCAGGAACTACATTCTTCCTGAAATTGGGTTGACATTGATTCTCTTTCCAGTCCGACCACTTCTTTAAGGATTCAGGGGAGCTTAGGTTCATAGGTCCGGGAAGACCCATAGAGATGGCAAACGCTGACGCTCCTTCTCCAGCGAGCAACGTGTGTTGAGAGTGCTTCATCACCAGCCATGCAGCTCTTATACCGTCTTTGACATACCGCATTGCAGCAACAGCTCCAACCTCCATAGTCACCTATGAATGTCCTTGGAAAGAACCAGATAAAAAAAAAACGACTTCAGAGTCATTCTTTCGAAATCTTGATGCAAATGGGAATTCTAGAGCGGAATACCGATGATGATCATTACCCCATCCATGACTAGAGCGTCAATCATGGTCTCACCGTTCTCATCCGGACTTCCTCCAGGCCCAACTATCAATGCCAACACAGAAAAAACATAACTTGCAGAAAGTAAAACCAGAGAAACAAAACGTTTCGACATAGACAGGGAATTCGATAGCTACCTGTACCGTCACAGCGGAGTTCCTCACAAGCAGAGCAACCTTCCACGACAGCTTCTACTGCAGAGCTCCCATTATCAACTTCTCTCCAAGCGGCTCTAACTGCTTCAAGGAAAGGCCAAGTACTCACCACTACCGGAAACTTCTCAGATTTCCCCAGTTCCGCTTCAGCTACCTAAGCCATGACAGGTCAAGTCCCTAAGCAAGTGTTAGTACGGATTTTGATGATTTGGGCATAAAGTGAAACATTTAATCAGTACCCAAAAGTTTCTTCAATAAGTATATCCAACTCCAAGCAGCTAAGGATTCGATTACTACCAGCATTCTCATACCATGTGTATATTTAAATAATAAAAGCACTCAAATTGGAAAAATCTAGCGTCCGGATTTCGAAAATCAGAGAGATATCTTGATCTGGAAGTAGAAACCTAAAACGCTTTGTCGTACGGATCATCCACAGTGATCAAAGATCCAACATTTCTTTCCCAATTCCATTTGTCTTGATATTTTGAGAGGAAAAGAAATACAATTGATTTGGAGCACTTACCGTCAGTAGAGGCAGAAACAGAAGGAGAGTAGAGAGTAAAATCGAAAGATCACTTCTCGCCATGGCTGTGAGCTCTGAGCTTAGAGTGGAATTTTGCCTGCTCTGTTGACGTTAAGGTCAATTCTGTTCATGACTCATTGACTGCCGGTTTTACGGTTTGGCTTGGAAAACCGGGTTTACGGTTTGGCTTGGAAAACCGATTTGATAACAATTGAATCTCTAATTGGCAAAGTTTCAACTAATTGCGTTCAAGCCCCGTGATTGCTTTATTATATATCATGTACATGGAAACAATCCGAATATTATTGATTTCTTATAGAGCCAAAAAAACTTATTTTGTTAAACAGTTTATTAAGTCTAAACAATGACGATACACAAGAATATGAAAACAAAGCATATTTACTGAAACCACTAGTTAATCATCATCGAGATCAAAATGCATATGTTCTTCTAACGGTTCTGGTTTGGTCCGGAAATTGAGAAATCTCTGACTCGAATCATCAGAGGAAGACTGGTTAACTGTTGTTTTCACCTCCATACAGTCTCGTCTGCATCCTGGAAAATCGCATTGTGATGTTCAATTAGGCACTGCACAACCTCGACCGCACCAAAATCAACTTGAACAATATCATCTAGAGGGATCGATGAAGATGCATCTACACCTTCTCCTTCATCTGTAACCATTAAAGATAAAACATAATTACCATAATGGAACTCTGTTTCAATGGTAAAAGTATTAAATCTCTGTGTTTCTTGGTTTACCTGAGAGCAAGTCCCATGGAGAAGCAGTTTCAAAGTCGTTGCTTTTCTTAGGACTCCTCGATGGGCGTCTCCAATATTCCCGATAAGACTCAGGCCTCTTGTCTTCTCGCCACATGATCACGGGAGCCATTTCCATGGCTAGGCTGTGTGAATCCATCTGTCCAAATGCAAGAAAATGATTCTCAATCATCAGATCGCATACCAATTGCATATATCTATCTGATTTTATGTTATACGATAAGCTATGCTCTTACCTTGTTAAGTAGAGATTTCTGGCTCACACGAAGCAACAACGCAGTGATGAACTCAAGTGTATTATAGTTCACGTTGGAAAGCTTCTGGAGTGACTTTCTCAATCTGTTTACGCTCGACCTTGCATCTTTGATTTCATTATAAAGCTCAAAAGTAGTTAGTGGTGTCGGAAGGCTCGCAAGATAGTATTTCATGAGTGCAGCGACATCAACTGGATTCACGCCTTCAGGTATTGACGAGCTGGGATCTGTCAAACAAGTGATTCATTTAACACAAATTCTCCCTGAGCCCCATAAGAGTCGAAAAGAAAACTTGTTAGAAATTATTGGTTACCTTGATTGTAAGCAGAAACCAATTGTTGGATCAACTTTTTGTCTCCTTCGGCTTTGAACAAGCTCGGTGAATTAAGCCCTGAGAAGAAGAAATATCACATTGATAGCACCGTATGAGAAGGTATAAGCTATAATAGCATTACGGGCACGATTGGTTGGAATATTTTTACCTGTTAATATAAGATAATCAGCGCATTTAATCAGTATAAATGGAACAGGCCTGCTTGAATCCTGCCGCTGGACAGTGACCTCAATCGCAACACCAAACACTGAGCACAAAGAAACAAAAAAAAGTTCTTTTTGATAAGCCGAGCAGCACACAACTCTCTATCAAAGAATCCATTGAATTTCTGATAAACCAGTATTTACCATCTGAGCTGGCAACTCCCTGCAGTTTTATAAAGAACAAATTTTAGAGACCAAACTCAAATCAACAGCTAGAATCAAATCTACTAAAGCTCAAATACCTTCTGCCATCTTTCAATATCCGTCAAAAGGGTCTTGCTCTTTTGCGCAGTCTTTTTTGCCGCCTACAGAGAAAACGAAGATCAAAGAAGTTAGAAATTGAAGAGACATCTATTCTTGTCGAGTAAGTTCAAGAAGTTATTTGACTATATACCTCTTCCACTTTGATCTTTCCAACGGAAACTTTTTCCTTTGTCTCAGTTATACCCTTCCTGACCAATGTCCCGGTTGTGGCAGCAGCAGTTATAAGGTGTTCTTGCACGGCATGTCTAGTTGCAGGCTCCTGAAGAATTGCCCACCGGCTTTTGAACAACGACCCAACTCGTTCTGCAACATCAGCAACATTCACTTTCGCATCCTTAGCGACTTCCCCGACAAAACTACCAGCTGATTGCCTGGCTTCCCTAAGCTTCGTTCCTATATCAACAAAAAACTATAGTAAGACTTCCACCACAAATACAACACACACACACACACAGACAGAGAATAACGACATTAGCATAGAGATGATCTAACCTGATGAAGAAAAGAATCCACTAGTCCTCTCCTGCCATTGTTGTGAGATGAGAGAAGGCATTTTCCAATACCAATCACTTCAAACAAATTCCTGCTGGATCAAGAAACAAATGGCTTCATATACTTAACATTCGTTATTCTTAGCAAATTTATGCTTAAATTCATTCGATTCTGGCACAAACTTCTAAGCGGTATATTCATCGAAAATCATCAGCTTCAATCCAATCATATACAATTTCTACAGAAGGAACAATTCGTAAACTCCATTTCATCTATCTAATACAGAAAACCAAAACCTTAAAACTCTCCAACTAATATCAAATTCGGACCCTCCCAGACCTTGACTACCAACATCAACGATGAAATGAATTTCTTGAGAAAGAAAAAAACCCAGGTCTTTACCTGCAAAAGGATATAACTTTTTAAGAACACAGACCCTAACCTATATTCTCTAATCAATCGAGGACAACCAAAAGAAAAATTTCACAAAGCAATCGATCATCAAACCTTAAAAAAACCCCAGAAAATTGAGATAGTTGATGATCGTATCGAACCCCAATCCCTTGATACGATCAGAGACGACGACGAGAGTCACGGAGTCAGCGATTAGATGAAAAAGTAAATTGATCGCTCCAGGAGAACAAAAGGTTGCACCTTTTTTATTTTCCCCTGGAGCAGAGAAAATAAAAAAGGAGAACAAACAGAAACGAAAAAAAAATGCCGGCTTTGAATTTTCGAAAAAAAGAGTCTTCCTTTCGAGATTTTGATTTTCTTTGCAAATACAGATATTCTCCGTCACAGGCTGGTGACGGTAACAAATGTTCTGTTGGTGCCACTGTGGGATTATTTCACTCAGAGAATAATCAACATCTAATCATTTTCCAGTCTTTCCTTGATAATTTGTTAATTACTTTTAAAATTATTTACTTGTCCTTTGTCTTCTTTTATTATTGCAAATGAGTGATACTAGTTTTACAACTTAGCCCCTTGATGTCTAACGGTTTAGCCTTTTAGGATAGTGAAATAAATAAATAAAAACTAAATCTGCAGGATAAAGTTAATAAAAAAAGGCCATAAAAATTATCATTATGCTTAGATGTAAAAATGAAAAAAGAAATGTTAAATCCATAAATTTACTAAGAAATTACATTAATCTCATTGCAAATAGCTTATAGTTATCCATACCATTATTGAGTTTGATGTTACTTTTCGAGCGAATGCTCTGTTTTTGGTTTTGTAACAGAGCAACTCCGATTTTCTCTTCAATAAATGCAATTTCTAAGACGGCCAAAAAAAAAAAAGTTGAAAAAGTATGGGATTGACTTGTCTACGCGATAAATAAATATTTCTTCACATATATTTCTTCTTTCTATCCACTGTCGATTTCTCATTAGCCAAACAAGAACCAAAAATTCCACACTCAAGTCCAAAACAAACACTCCAATGGTCCAACAAGTTTGTCTACCTTGAAACTCATCACCCTTTAGCGGATAGACTAAAAAGTCTACCTTCTTTAAAAAGACTAATTCTTTGGCCAATTCTTCAGATTTACAACTTGAAAATTTTCTTTTCTGATCAAAATATCACTTGTGTTACGTCTGATTGTCTCTATATGTGAACATGGGAGAAGACGAAGAAGAAACAAGAAAAGGAGCCATGGCTGCATCAGACTCTGGTGGGAAGATAACTTATTTTGTGGTGGCTTCATGTATCATGGCCGCCATGGGAGGTGTCATCTTCGGCTACGACATCGGTGTTTCAGGTTTACATATACAATTATAGTTATGAGTTTATGAGTGTTTCAAATCCAATTTCTATGCTTCTATTCGCATTTACAGAAAAAAAAGTTTTATCAAATGTTTGTTAAAGAAAGCATTTTTTTCCATAAAATACCTAGATAAACTATAAACATAAACGCCAATACATAAAGGAGAGTTCTCCATCTGGCTTGCATTTCACGGTTACGTTTACAATCAACCCAAAAAAAAAATTGCTTAAGATACTAAATCTTCATATACAACAAACTAGAAGTAAACGCAAGCAAAAACCGAACTCATACTCTATGGATGATTAAACAAGAAGGTTTCTTAATTAAAACTGTGTTAGAGTTAATATGCAAATCATGTAATGATCAACGTATAGGTGGAGTGATGTCAATGGGGCCGTTTCTGAAAAGATTTTTTCCAAAAGTGTATAAACTAGAAGAAGAAGATAGAATAAGAAGCAGAAGCAATAACAGCAAGAACCACTATTGCCTCTTCAACAGCCAACTTCTTACGTCCTTCACGTCTTCTCTCTACGTTTCTGGCTTCGTCTCTTGTCTCTTGGCTTCGTCGGTGACTCGTTCCTTCGGTCGCAAGCCCTCTATATTCCTCGGCGGCGTGGCCTTTCTTGCCGGCTCTGCTCTCGGCGGCTCTGCTCAGAACGTTGCTATGCTCCTCGTTGCGCGTCTCTTACTCGGCGTAGGAGTTGGATTCGCAAATCAGGTGACAAACACAAGAGCTGATCATTGTGTTTGTCTCAATATGAATTTGGATGTTTTTTTTCATTTGTCTGGCTTCTCCTCCTTTCACAGTCGGTTCCTCTGTATCTCTCCGAGATGGCACCGGCCAAATACAGAGGAGCAATCAGCAATGGTTTCCAGCTCTGCATCGGAATAGGATTTCTAACTGCGAATTTCACCAACTACGAAACTCAAAAGATCAAAGACGGCTACGGTTGGAGAATCTCTTTGGCCACAACCGCTATTCCGGCTTCAGTCCTCACGTTAGGCTCTGTTTTTCTCCCGGAAACGCCCAACAGTATCATACAAACCACCGGCGACATTCGCAAGGCCGAGCTCATGCTCCGACGAATCCGTGGAACAAACGACGTTCAAGACGAGCTTACCGATCTCGTCGAGGCAAGTTCTGAGTCAAGCTCAAGCTCAAACTCAAACGCACACAAAATGTTTTTGAAATTGCTACAGAGAAAATACAGGCCTGAGTTAGTGATGGCTTTGATGATACCTATTTTTCAGCAAGTTACGGGTATTAATGTCGTCGCTTTCTACGCACCGGTTTTGTTTCGAACCGTCGGTTTCGGAGAGAGCGGTTCACTGATGTCGACACTCGTGACCGGGATTGTGGGAACAGCTTCGACGTTCTTATCGATGTTCGTGGTGGACAGAATCGGTAGAAAGACTCTGTTTTTGGTCGGAGGGTTACAGATGCTTGTGTCTCAAGTTATCATTGGTGTGACCATCATGGTGGCTGAGGCTCACGGCGGAGTGATCGGGGAAGGATACGGTTACGCCGTTTTGGTTTTGGTATGTGTCTACGTGGCGGGGTTTGGTTGGTCGTGGGGTCCACTAGGGTGGCTTGTACCGAGCGAGATCTTTCCTCTGGAGATAAGATCGGCGGCGCAGAGTGTGACGGTGGCTGTGAGTTTTGTGTTCACTTTCGCGGTGGCTCAAAGCGTACCGCCGATGCTGTGCAAGTTCCGAGCAGGGATTTTCTTCTTTTACGGTGGGTGGGTGGTGGTGATGACGGTCGCTGTGCAGCTGTTTTTGCCGGAGACTAAGAATGTTCCGATCGAGAAGGTGGCTGGACTTTGGGAGAAGCATTGGTTCTGGAGGAGGATGACGAGTAAGCGTGATATCCAAGAAACCGACTTTCTTGGGTCTTCTTAGTAGGAAATAATCCACAAACATAAATCTCTATGATATGGTGATGTGAAATGCATGATTTAATAAACTGTGCATACACATAAAAAGATAAACTAATTACTTACAGTATGTGTATAATTTAAATCAATTTTTCTATTTACTATCCAAATCGATTAAACTAAATTTAAATCAATTTTTCTATTTACTTTCCAAATCGATTAAACTAACACCCTAAAATATTTCCGAAATCCTTACATTTCACCCCTGTACTTTAGATGCTCTATGTGTAGAGTTTGACTTTTGAGGTGTGTTTTGTACATGTATGAAAATTAACGTGGTGACAATGTAATAACTAAAAGTTAAAGGACAAAGATGGGAAAAGTAAATTTAGTTAGGAGGAAGAGAACAGAGGGGGTCATTGAAAGTGGCTGCATTGACTCTTCATCACTCGTGTCTTCAAGCGTCTGGACATCTGTCACCTCGTCTGTATCTCCCAAGCTTCTCGAATTTTCAACGAATTCCCGTAAAAAATCTCATCTTTCGTCTAAGTCCTGCCGAGTCCTCGAGTTTTTCGTTGTCTACACGTGGCGACGCGTTTGCTGTAAAAGCTCTGAGTACACTCCCAGTGGAGGATTCGCCGGAAAAGAAGATGGTGAAAGGGATTAGGGTTTACGAGCATGGCGGTACTGAGGTGAGTAAAGTTTCGATTTTGAAATTCCGGGTCGGATTTGGGTCATTCTAAGCAGATTAGGTTGTGATTGTGTCTTTGTATGGTTCTATGATTAGAACTGAAATGATTAGGGATTCACTACCACCTTCAGCTCCATAACACTAACAACCTCCCAGAACAGAGAAACTGGACCTAATAAAACTTGTGATCTGATGTAGAAACTTGTGATCGTTACTCACGTTCTACATGATCTGTATTCTCAGTACTTAATTGCATTTTTGTTTGTAATTGGAAGGTTCTGAAATGGGAAGATGTGGAAGTAGGGGAACCAAAGGATGGGGAGATACGAGTGAAGAACAAGGCAATCGGGCTCAACTTCATTGATATTTACTACAGAAAAGGTGTTTACAAGCCGTCTTCTATGCCCTTTACACCAGGTTCTGCTCTCTACAACCTAAGTTTTACAAACAAACAACAAAATTGAGGAAAAGGAAAAGGAAGTATATTTTTTTTTTGTGTGCCAATTTCTGTTCATAGGTATGGAGGCTGTTGGAGAGGTGGTAGCTGTTGGGTCAGGATTGACTGGCAGAAAGATCGGTGATCTCGTTAAGATCGGTGATCTCGTTGCTTATGCTGGAAATCCGATGGGTGCGTATGCAGAGGAACAAATCCTTCCAGCAGATAAAGTGGTTCCTGTTCCTTCATCTATGGATCCTATCGTCGCAGCATCAATCATGCTCAAGGGTATGACTGCACAGTTTCTTCTTCGCCGTTGCTTCAAGGTTCGTTTTTGATTTTACCTATTTCTGCCTTTTCCATTGAAAGGTTGGAAATTTCATTTAGTGTAAGAGCTCTTCAGTATATGACTCAAAGGTACTATTTGTATTTGGAAAGGTCGAACCTGGACACACGATCCTTGTCCATGCTGCAGCTGGTGGAGTTGGATCTCTATTGTGTCAATGGGCAAATGCGCTTGGAGCCACTGTCATTGGAACTGTCTCGACCAATGAAAAAGCGGCTCAAGCCAAAGAAGATGGATGCCACCATGTTATTATGTACAAGAACGAGGATTTTGTTTCTCGTGTCAATGACATTACATCAGGCAAAGGAGTCGATGTTGTTTATGACTCGGTGGGAAAAGACACCTTTAAGGTAAAAATTTCACGAAGACCCGTCCATATCACTTATGTTCTATGTTGGGTTTCGAATTTCTCATTGTGAAAATTTTCATGGGTTTCCAAAGGGATCATTAGCGTGTTTGAAGAACCGTGGATACATGGTGAGCTTTGGACAATCCTCGGGGTCTCCTGATCCGGTTCCATTATCTGATCTTGCTCCAAAGTCGCTCTTCTTGACAAGACCTTCCATGATGCAATACAATGAAACTCGAGACGAGCTATTGGAGTGTGCAGGGGAGGTTTTCGCCAATGTTGCTTCCGGCGTCATAAGGGCTCGTGTAAACCACACGTACCCGTTGTCTCGGGTCGCTGAGGCTCACGCAGACCTTGAGAACAGGATAACATCTGGCTCCGTTGTGCTCTTGCCGTGAAAACTTTTTATTTATCTTTCAATAAGGGCAATGAGATTCCTTTGTAATGGAAATATGTGAAATGTACTATGTAGACCTGGAAGACAGTTTGAGAATACAGAGGAAAAGGGAACTTTGATTGAAAAATAAAATGAAGGGGCCAAAACGAAAATATATATAAGTATGAGGAGATAAACCGAGATTTTTCGCAACAATGGACACGGAATCTTCTCAAAAACCGAATCTCCGATTAGAAAGAATTCTTCTTAGATACGAGAAGTTCGTTGTGGATATCAACAATTGATTAGATTCTAATTCATCGCGAGATCAAAAAGATGGTGCTTTCGCAAAAGCTTCATGAAGCATTTAAAGGCACGGTGGAGAGGATCACAGGTCCTCGTACGATATCGGCGTTCAAGGAGAAGGGAGTACTCAGCGTCAGCGAGTTCGTACTCGCCGGCGATAATCTCGTCTCCAAGTGCCCTACCTGGTCCTGGTTAGCTCCAATTCTGAGTTTTTATTGGAGAATATGAAAACAAAGATGCGAATATAAATTTTCAGCTACCAATTTGTAAGCCGTAAACTTGATCGTTCGAGGGATATGGGGAAATGGGTCTCTCTGGGTTTGAGGATAAATCTAATGGCTTTTGATTACTTTTATACAGTTTTGTGAGACTGTGATGGGATCAATCAAAACTATGACTTTTTCTGAATGTCTGTGACATATTGGGTTTTGCGCTTTGTTACAAGACTTCTGTTCAATCCGTTTACGATATACATCTTCTCTTGATGTTTAAGTTAAGCTTTGACATAATAAATTTTCCTTTAAACTTAGGGAATCTGGTGACCCAAGCAAAAGGAAGCCGTACTTGCCATCCGACAAACAGTTTTTGATTACTAGAAATGGTAAATTTAAAATCTTTTTAGAGCTGCTTTTCTGTTAGTTAGCTTCATAGTTTATGGATGCTTGCACACTCCGTTGTTAAGTTTATGGCTTTTCCATCGGTCGACAGTACCTTGTCTACGGAGAGCTGCATCTGTGGCAGAGGAATATGAAGCTGCTGGAGGTGAAGTGTTGGTTGATGATGAAGATAACGATGGTTGGCTGGCGACACATGGGAAACCGAAAGGTGGGATTTTTGTATTGACTATTGAGAGATAAGTGCCTCTGGAAGTCACTTTTTCTCCCATTTAACATTTTGTCTTTATATTTGCCACAGATAAAGGCAAAGAAGATGAAAACTTGCCATCCATGGATGCCTTGGAAATAAATGAGAAGAATGCTATACAATCAATACCTACGTATTTTGGAGGTGAGGAGGAGGAAGAAGATATTCCAGACATGGAAGAGTTTGATGAAGCTGACAATGTGGTAGAAAATGATCCGGTGAGTTGTTTTTTTCTCTTATACTTCAACTATATCATGTGTCTTTGTTATTGCTCTCTTGGAAAAATGCATTTGCAAGTGTTCTAGGAATTTGGAACAAACTTGAATAAGTTATGATTTGAATGGATTTAATTGGAAGCATACTTCCGTTTTTCATCTTTCTTGGTTTACCAGTAGTTGTATTAAAAAAAGATTAAAATTCTCTTCCTTGAGTCAGGCAACTCTTCAGTCAACTTATCTTGTGGCTCATGAACCTGATGATGATAACATTCTCCGCACTCGAACATATGATGTCAGCATAACGTAAGTACCCTGCGCTTCTTTCATACCCAAAGAATGTCTTGCTTTCACATCTAGATACAACTCTCATACTTTTGGCTCAGATCCTTAGTAATAGGCAAACTCATAATTCTTCGCTTTGGTCCAGGTATGATAAGTATTACCAAACTCCTCGTGTTTGGCTAACCGGTTATGATGAGGTCTGCATCTTATTCATAGCTGTTTCGTTATTTTCTTTCATCTTAACACTCTTGGATTTTTATTGCTTGTTTATGTTTCCTGTTATCTAATTAACTAATTATAAACGGTGATGTATCTATCTTGTAGTCAAGGATGCTGCTGCAACCTGAACTTGTAATGGAAGATGTAAGCCAAGACCATGCTCGTAAAACGGTAAAAAGAAAGACGAATCTCAACTTGCATTAGATAAATTTTTGTAAATCAACAAAGTTTTCTTCGCTTTTGTCCTCTAAATCCGATCAATGTAGTAGATTAATTGTGCGATCCTCTGTTTAAAAAAAAAAAAAATATATATATATATATACAGGTCACAATTGAAGATCATCCACACTTGCCTGGGAAACATGCTTCAGTCCATCCATGTCGACATGGAGCTGTTATGAAGAAAATCATTGATGTATTAATGTCGCGCGGAGTAGAACCTGAAGTTGACAAGTAAGTGGTTTTATTGCAAATAACTCTTATAGTTCAGTGGGCCTTGCTGGTTACACCATTGCTATTTTGTCAGGTACCTCTTCCTGTTCTTGAAGTTCATGGCATCAGTTATTCCAACAATCGAGTATGATTACACAATGGACTTTGATCTCGGTAGCTCAAGCACATAATACCAGGTGAGATCTCCTTACCGTCTATTTATTTCCTTCATATACATAATTACGTACTTGGTAATCTGGTACACAAGCTTATATCTTAAACTTTGATACGCATTCGCTTTTGGTGTTTTACTAGATTTTATACAAACATGTGCTCGTGAATCCAAGAAGGCAAGAAGCAATCACACTGGTCTCATGGATGGCTTGGTGGCTCTGCACTGTACATAAAACAGGGTCACCTCTTTCTTTTCTGTTTAAAAGAAACTGTAAGGTGTTGTGTTTTAATCACTTGTTCATTTGATGTTTACGCCAGTGAATAGTAATTTGTGACGATACTCAGAAAACGAGTATTTGATCAGTCGCTGTAGTTTAAAAAACAAAATTTGGGAATGTACCTCTGTTCGTATAATTAATCTAGTGTGTTTGATACACTCTTTCTTTGGAGAAGTTGAACTTTATATTTCAAATGACATACGTACATTGTTCTTGAAATTACTGCTTTCTTATTACATTAGAGTAGCACATGTATCACCATAATTCTGCCGCGGTTTTCAGCTGCAGAGATCGCACTTACAATTGTAACGCAGGCCCTGAAATGTGAGATCATTGTTTGGCCAGTATCGTGTACTGAATCCTTTGTGAAAACTTCCTATCTAGCTCTTGTGACACGAGTTACTAAAACGATAAGCAGGACAAGGACGGTGAGCAGAACCGTTGATTGTAGCTTCTCCATCACTGGTGCAGCACCTGTGGCTAACACAACCGTCTCATCTCCAGGAACACCAGCATTGAAGAGGTCAGTGACATACTTTGTGACTCTCTCCATTGCGTCCATGATTTTGATGGCACTTCTCTCAAACAACCTCCTTATGAAACTCGCATCTGAAACAGAGTCTTCTTTGGACGCTTCAGCTGCGTTATAAAATGAAGGAAAACTCTTTACATAATCATCGGTTAGAAGAAACCAGTGATCTTAGTTTTTTCTTACCGTTGGTTATGAGCTCTCGGACAACCTCATTGTTCATCACCGCGTCCCAAACAGCCCTGTCTGAAGCCAATGACATAACCATTCTCTGCAACAACAAACACACCAATGCCTATCTTAGTCATTTTGTGTTTTTTTTCCCTAGCTATAAAACCTGAAGTACAGCCATAAAGACAGAGAACCTGAACTGATGGGTCGGTCTGAAACATATGAAAGGCGTCATAGAATCTGTCCAGCATATAAGGCTGTACAAGTCTGGTATTGTAGAGCTGCAATGGAGGCTCAATCCAATCTACAAACTCCGACTCTGAAACTTGGTCTTTATCATCATCATCGAACATCCTAATTATGAGTTATTTCAGTCAATACCGTCAAAAGAAAAACTTTTACTTCCAAATATTCACAATAACTCACAGTTGAAGCGCAGAGAAAGCATTCTCAACTTCGTCAATTTCCGGAGCTTTATCCTTAATTACATCAGCCTCTCTTTTTACAGCCTCTCTTTCTACAGCCACCCAGTCAAAGTCCTCCTCCTCCTCCTCACCGTTGGATCGAGAATCAATCACCGGCTCAGATGATGAAACGGCGAGGACACTCTCCGATGTGGAGGAGATCGAGGACGAGGAAATTGACGGTGAGGGAGGAGGAGAAGAGGATATGAATGGTTTCTGATTGCCGAGACTGATCACTGTAACAGAATCAGCTTCTTCGAAAGTATTCAGCTCCTCTCCGCCGCCGTCGGCGATTATGATGTCCATTTCGCGGCCGTCACTTTTCTTGCTCGGGAAGCCGGCAACGGAGCTTACTTATTACAGAGCTTAAAAATGGAATAGTTATTACATTTCTTATTTACATTATTTCTGTTAGAAGCCTCATACTTTTCCGTTTTTCTAAATCAGCCCTGTACTTGTATGATTTGAATAAACAAAACCTATGACCTTTAAAATCGTACTTTTAAACCCGATTCAAGGCTAAGTGTCAGAAGGTGTAGGCAGAAGTTCCTATCTCTGTCTATTCAAGTCCTTCCAAATGTTGTTTTCCAAGAAAGGAGAAAAACTAGTGTTATAAACAGGCTGTATATGGAATCGTTGAAAAAAGAAGTCCTTTTAGCTTTGTTTTCAATATATGGCAGGCCAGAGAAAATGCATAACTTTCTTGGCATGCGATTATCAGCAAAATGAAACTTCGAATTTATCTGACTAAAGCCTTGAATGTGTTGTTAAGAGCTGTTGTATTTTTGGCATTTGTATCGAGTTATCACATGTATGCTAACGATACTTGTTCTTCTTTTTTTTTTTCTTTTTCTTGATTGGCTAATACAGTTTGTCGATGGATTTAATCTATTTTCAAGATTACGATCATGCTGACTCATAAATCAAGAATCCAGTTTATGGCCTTGGTTGTTTCCTTGAAACTGATTAATAACCGGATATACATGGTTAAAGACTTGAACTTAAAGTAACAACTCTCCAAGTCTTTGGACTCAAGATATGTATACATTCAGGAAAACAAATACATTGCAGCATTCATCCAAACAATCAGTTATGACAAAGTAAAACAACAAAAGACTAAGATCTTTAATCAGAACTTTCAGATTTATTTTGGCCCAGTCAATAGACCTATTGGTAATATTTATATAACCAATTTATAGAAGAAGAGCAATTAAGAATAAAATTCCACTGTGGTTATAGAAAAAGAAAAGGTTAATGGGCATATGGGCTGTCCTCCAATTTTTTCCCGATTTCACCCCATAATCATAACATTTTATTTTAAAATGGGGGAAATAAAAAAGGAAAAGACAAGATTTCGAAATGAAAAAAAAATGATGATTAGAATTGTTGATTTAGGATCCCGTGGGAATACTCATCTCTTTCAAAAAAGTAGATCATCTATTTTCCTTGAACAAAATGATTACACGTTTTGATAAAATAATTCTGTTTGTTTGTTTCATTGGTTCTACCATCTAATCTGCTTAACAACTTTGAAAACGTTATGGAATTTTATAGTTAATGGTATATAATGCATTATTATCACTTTAATTGTGCTCATAACTTCAAGCTAAAGCATCTCTTTGCCCACAACACATATGACAAAATCAAAGATGGGCCATGCCTATTTAATGTGTTCAAATTAAATGTGTTTTTTGTTCTATAAGATACTCTTTGTGATTTTAATTATGCCAATAACAGAAACTAAATTAACAAACCTTTTCCATAGATCCAAAAGGAGAATTGCATGGTTAGTGGGGATGATCAGACTACTTAAACTATCGACAAAAGTGACATATAATTTGGCTTCATGTGAGCAATATGGAAATTAATCATTCTTTTAATTCTGATGAGGTTGACAAAATTTGATTCTTTTCAACCAGCTAAGCAAATGTGTTTATTATTTTCTTTTTTCTTGTGCAACTGCAAATGTGTTTGTTTATTCATGTTACGAAAAATGTACACATTCCAAAAATGAACTGAATAAGGTCTAGGGCAAAAAAGTTACGAATTAAATACTTTTTTCATCTAGTGTTCACGAATTATTTTTATTGAAAAAATACGTATTTTCTTAGATTATGAGTGTAATTTTTGAATATGATGCATGTTGAATGTTCTTGTAGTCGTACAAATTGAACTGTTTATCTGAAATAGTTAGTCTTTTCTCTGAAATAGTTAGTTCTAAAGGAATAAGAGATTAAGGCTCATTTGGATTTTAGAGCATTATTTATAGTATATTAATAATTTAAGAATATGATTTTTGAATAAGAGATTAGATGATAATCATTTCTTTTGAACTTGAAAACAAAATCCAAAAGTGTCATAACAAATTAACAATTGCCAGATACAATACTAACGGTGGTATTTCAAAAATAAAATTAAATATAAAAGTAATCACATTTGAGATATATACATATATTGGAATGGCCTCACTCCCATCAATCGTTTTCTTTCCACTCTTTATTTCACCTCTTTGTTTACTTTTGAAGAATGTTCAATTCTTTCATCATTCTCTTGTGGAAACTTTTATTATGATTGTTCCTCTCGTTTCTACTTTTTTTTTGTCTTGTCCTTCCAAATTTAATAGTTTTCCTCTAAATTGATATAGTTACATATACAAACAAAAAATAACTTGAATACGATTACTCTGTTACAAATTTTTAATATCGATAGGATATCCAGATAAAATATTTATGTCTAACTCGATTCTAAGAACTAAACTTGTATTCTAACCATCCCCAGTAGTGGAAAAGCATTCGTTATTCTGTAAGAATATTGCCAATATAAATACACCATGAAATTGCGACCAAATTGAGCTCTTAACACAAACTATTTATAAAAAAACAATTACCAGCATTAAAAGTTCTCCATTAAAGTATCAATACTGATTTATCAACAGTCGTTTAAGATTTTAACGGTACCATAGATGAATAGGTTTTTAACGATAACTCAATTCATACGAAAACATTAGATCCAACTTTGAAGTATAACCTCGATTCTCAATTCATACAAAAACAAAACCCCCAGTCTTTTTAAAGTGTGACATAAGATAATACATATTATAAAGTTAGAACCCTACATTTAATCTTTTAGTCAACCTCTAAATCTAAGAACATATTTATACATTGCAAAATCTAATTCTCTTGATTGTCTTACTATGTATATATCCATAGGAGTACAGTTGGGGGTAACATCGTCATCTTGTAAAAGGCAAAACATCACACTGTTGTTGCGAAAAAGACACGCGTGACAAAAAAACACTAACAAAAGAGAAATCAAACGACGCATGCCTCTATACAATTATTTTCATTATTGCTCTCTATTTATTTTCATAAAACATCCAGATAATTTAGGACCTTTGGTTCTGTTGGACGAGTTTGTAAAACGTATATCATTCTACTTCAAGATTACATTCTAGATATAGGCTACAAAAGTCATTTGAAAAGAAAATATAAACTTCACCATTACTAACTTTTAACTTCATCATATCCAGTTAAAAAAAACTTGTAATTTCATATAATCATTATGCCAAATATAGATAGGCTATATTTAAGCTTCGTCCATCATTTATTTATTTACGAGAGTCGAATAGTTTTATATTTTGTTTAAAAGATAAAAATCATCCATACCAATGTTTAACATCTACAACCATCACATAAATTTTTGATGCAAAATAGAATATACTAATGTATAGCATTTATGCTTACCGCTCACGTAAGAGATATTGAAGATCATATATCGGCGATAATACCAGATAATTATCTTTAACAAAAAATAATACCAGATAATTAGTTGAGGAATAATGATGATAATTTTCGAACTTTAGGGATGATCGAATGAATTTGAGATATTATTGGCAAAAAAAAGAGAGAGTAAATGTGAGATATTTATTTCACCTCAACCTTGATGATGAAAAGTGTATCCTATAATGGCAAGCAACCATCATGATATGGACCTTATGCCCTTAAGTCAATTTCTACAAAATAATATATTTTTTTTTCGAGTTTGTGTGTTTTTTAGTAATGAAAAGAAAATAATAAGAAAAGGCATCGTGACCAAAAAAATAAATATATAAGATAAGAAAATGAAAAAGGCATAGTTTGGATTTCATAACAGTATTTGATATTCAAATGAGACAAAATATTTTCTAGTAGAATAGGACCATGTGATTGATATAATATAAGGATTGCATGAAAAAATGTTACAAGTAGTGAATATATATATATATATATATATGTTCATGTTCAAATGATGAATCTATAATTACAGTATTTGTAAATCAAAGAATGCTTGAGAACTAATAAAAAATAGTGAACGAATTGTTGAAGGGTTTATCATGTAATCTAAATGGACAATGCTCTAGTTTTCTCACTACTAGTCGTTGAATGTTTTAAATGGTAAAATTCAAAATTTTCCCATACGTTCTTGAAATGAATGAGAATTTCGGTTCGAGATGCTTAACTTATAATACATTAACCAATTGAAAAGTAAGTATGGACTCTAGATTAGATAAATTGGTTATAGAATCTTGAATCTTTTGGGCGCCAGAATTGGTGTTCGAAAAAGTTATAGTTACTGTATATGTATTTTTATTTTTTATGATAAAAGAATTTCGCATATAATAAATAGTGATGGCTTTGAGAGTTAGTGGAGATACAGAAGAATTTAGCTTTATTGGATCCTGTGAGTGACTGAGATAAATACAGCCCACTTTCGGTTATATATATATATATATATATATATATGTATTGTGTATCTATGTATGTAGTATTTGTGTATTTGCATATACATACCATCAAACATTCAAATTGTCTGCAAAAGGTTTTTAAAAAGAAAACCAAAGTGGAAAAACAAATCTTAAAGAGGAGAAGAAAAGATACAAGCAAACTAAATAATAGGGTTTTAATATGAGTGGCATGGTGATTTGGTTTCTGATTTTCAAAGATCTCCACCGAAAATCAAATATTTTACGTATAAACATGATATTGGATTAATTAATCGAAAACAAAACCCCTCAAAAGAAATATTTCGAGCGTTTTCCTTTTAGTCGTAAAATGTGTACTGTAGACTATACAGTATAGTTGTATAGCCGGTTTAGTTCTTTTTTTTATCATATAAATAACATTTTTTTTTTGCCTTAATACAAATAACATTGTTTTGTGGTTCAGAATCATGAAAAATGCATAAATGCCTAAATGGTTTATAATATCAGCATAGAAAATTCGAAACCGCGTTGATAAAAGTTGTAACTATATAGCAATTTGCTCAACAATTACATCGGTTTTTTTTTTTACAAGTAGAAATGTACAATTCT